TTTGAATTTGTTGTATTAAGTATATTGGTTCAATATATGCAATTTCTTGATTTTCTCTAGGTCCGCATAATGAGGCGAGCGCCCTCAATACTGGAGCTCATGTTTGCTTGGATTTGGGTCACGACACTTTGCAAACTGGGGAACACGCAGCAAAGGCGCAGGAGGCAATAGTAAGTATATGAGACGCTTGATACATTGCGGATGTACCATACAAATAAGAAAAACAAGAACCTTGGTTTGACAAACAGTTTTTTAACGCAAGGAAGTAATTTGGAGGTAAAAAATAGCGAGGTGGAAACCAAGAAAGGTACAAAGTCTAGAGGGATATTCTAATTATCCGCGCCACTTATTATTAATGAAAACTTGGACACCAAAAAGCTCGAACAGGAAGAAACTTGCAAAGACAAAGATCCACAAAAGATCTATGTACTTTATCACAGGTAATATCTTGTACAATAGTCTCAAGGTCATAAACAACCATTCAAAAGCATGCTTTCCATTTTGAAACCCATCAGAGCCCTAGGCGTCCGAGCTGCCTTCTGTTTCATCCTGCTCCATCATGCGGGCAATTACATCCTCGTGCGTGGAGATATCATCTCTTGCAATATTCAATTGTTGACGCAAATCAATCACTTGATTCTGTAAAGTCTCAAGCTTGGCTTCCAGGGTAGAAATGACCGAAACCTCTCCATCAAGCCGATTTACATTGGTTTGGAGGTGGGAAACCGAATGATCTGTACGAGTCTATCAGAAATCTGAGCCACATGAAATCTGCAAATGTGGATTGACAAACCAATTTCCTCTAGTCGCATGCTGTGTTGAAACAGGGTCTTCGAATTCATTTCAATCTTCTCTGCCATCTGCGCTTTAGAACCTTCGAGCGCACAGACTGCGCAGATTTGAATAAACATTAGAATACAATTTTGAGTCGTAGATCTATTACGTTGCTCAAAAGAATTGATCCGGAACTCACTGCGTTCTTCGCGGCTTCTTTCCTCTAGAAAGACTTCGACTCCAGACTTTTTGACGCCTTTGACTGCAGTTGGCGTATTTGTTGATGTGTCGAAAGAGATTGGTGAGATATCCTTACCTATCACTAGCAGAATAATAAGTTTATCAATCAACTAGAAGCCTCAATGAAGGTATATTAAAAACATCATGTTGTCACCTAGATTCCCAGTGTCCAAAATATCTGTGTCTGAAAAGTCGATGAGGTCCATGACCTCATTGGTTGTGGCCGGGAGTTCAGGCTTAGGTGGGATACGAATTCTGTGTTTGATTTTCACGGTCCCACTCGTAGCAGCACTTGAAATCTCAGGTTCTAAATTTGACAATGTGATCAACGTATTTTCGGATTCTTCAAACTTGACCGCTTTGGTTTTGCTGATTTCACTTTGAGTCGTGTCAGATGGACCTTGGTCTATTTCAGAAGGCTTCGGTGTAATCTGAAAAGGATTCGAGAGAACAACTTGAAGCATTTCAGTACTCCAGACAATCATGATGGAAATGTCCAAAGTAAAAGAGTGACTTACTTTCTTTTTATGCGCGGTACTGGTCTTGCGCACGCGTGATACCTTGGATTCTAAAGATACCTTAGATTCTAAAGATACGTGCTGGGTTAGTAATTGTAAGGTAGGTTGGGTTTCACAGAGTACATACCTCCTGTTTTGACATGCTTGACACTTGGTCCATTTTCACTTCCGGTGTCTAAAGCCACACCACGCTTTCGAAGCAAAGACGGTGATGGTGATGAAGAGACTGGTTTCGTCTTCTTGATCAAGCTCTCATGAAGGGTGTTGATTTTTGGGGGGTGATGTTGGACGGTTTCGATTGGAGAAAGGGTGTTCTGCTTCGTGTTTGTGGTGTGCGATTGAGTGATGTTTCCATGTTTTGATGATTCAGCCACGGGTTTGCTTGCAGTATCAAGTGTTGCTAAAGCAGGCACATGACTAGTGAGCTTTGGGAAGACTGATAGAACAAGACCAAAAAATGAAATCGAGTCATAGACATCAATAAGAGTTGATGACAAGGATAATCATCATAGATAACTCACACGCAGGCTGCTTCCCTCGCACCAAGTCCGAAAGTTCGTCTGTACCGATTCTTGGTCTCAGTGTAGTCATTGGATGATGGATATGCATCCAATCAATCATCATCTGTCTGGTTACACCTGGAGCGCTGGGGTCAAAAATATCAGGCATATTTACGTCAACGACGTATCTATCATCCAAAGTAAGCAATCAACGATGTAGGGTGTCGGGAAGAGTAAGATCGAAGCGACAGCCGGATTTTAATCTAAAAAGGCCGGAGGAGGTAAGAATTATAGAGTAACAAATCAGTAGATGGATGTGAAAGAACAGAGAGGAAGGGTACGTACAAAAAAGACTTCAAGCATGAGAGCTTCGAAGTAGCCCGATTGTCATCAAATTGCGAATTCTAATGAAAAGAAGCTTCTCAAAGCCTAAGGTGATGAACTGTGATCTATCTGCATGCTTCTGAATGCGAAATTTTACATCTTAATGTTTGTCATCAATTTGATGAGTTGAGCGTCAGGTGATTAAGTTAGGATTGGTGGGGGTAAACACCGGAGAAGAAACATACTCATTACTGCTATGTAGATTTGGAAGTTTGATGATCACTTCCTATCACTTCGGAAAATCGCCAGAGCCTCAATTGAATTGATTTCCACTGTCGTGTAGCTTATTCATGGATCTGTTATCTGTTCACACAGACCCGATGAGTTGCAACGAATGTGAGTACATACAAGTTTGCCTTACTTCGGGTAGCCCAAGATCAGCAGAGATCTTTTTGTAATCAGATAGTTTATGGATGAAAATTGGGAAAAATTGTATGGAATCTAGATACGTTACCGGAATCTTTGATACTCAAGTGAATGAACCTGATATGTACTTCTCAGTTTACCTTGGTAATTTTTCTCATCTCTACACGCAGCTACACAGAGCTACACCCATGATTTTTGTAATAGAATTAATTAAGTAATTTGTGATCTACATTTTTGTATTAACATCATTTTTGAAATCTGTACAGAATACATTAAATTTTGTGTAGTGTAAGATTCAAACGGGTCCGTTTCGAGCGCATCTGAGTGCCGGAGTAGCTGGGAGCGTCTTCGCGGGTACGTTCAGAACGCCTTCGGTTGGGCGGAGGCGGGGAGTCATCCCGAATCCAGATGACCTTCACATTGGGTCGAGTTGGTGGACGTTTTCCTCGCTCTAAGTCTGCAAAAGAAAAGGGGTCAGAAAGCACCCAAAAAGAAAGAAGTAAATGATCAATATCAACCTTCAAAAGCGTTATCACATTCCTTTCCAGCTTGTTCAATCAAATCATAAAATAGAGGAGGAAGACCGGCAACTTTAAGCAGTTCCTTGAGGATGGCCGAAGTCGAGTTCACATTCCGGTAGTATTCTTCCTTTGAGATTTCCTGGACTTCGTGATCGGATAATCCAACTTTTTGAACAGCATCAAGAGGACCTGGAACCGAAGGTGCTTGAGAGAAAGCTTGGAAACTCGGAGCAGGAAATTTCGGCTGTGAGGCGGGGTTATTCTTCATCTCGAGTTCGTCCTGATCAGAATCAGAGTCTACAGAGGAGGCCTGACTTTTCTCCTCACTGAAGTTCAAGTGAGGAGGGGATGGACGGTTCTCAAAAGGCATATCTATGAGGTATTGAATTTTTGAGAATGTTTCTAAGTTATCACTTTTATTTGATGGTTTCAAAGATAAGAATATGACAAACTCAAGGAATAAAGTGGAAAATAAAGTTTAAAATTGAGTGACAAAATTAAGTAAAAAAATAAAATAAAATTGATGAATCAACTCTTTTAATTTTGTTGATCTGGTTTTGAAGAGATTATAAAAGTAAAAAAAAACCAAATTGATGAATTAAGTGATTGGTTTTTGTTTATCTTCTTTTTTTTGAATGAGATTATAAAATGAGAAAAAAAAACCAATTTGATGATTCTACTAATTTGATTTTGTTGACCTTGTTCTGATGAGATTATGAAAGATAAAAAATAAAAAATAAAAAGAATTGGATGATTTAAGTGAATTGAATTGGTTTATGTTCTTTTGATAAAAAAAACCAATTTGAAGAAGCAACCAATTTGATTTTGTTGAGATTCTTTTGAGGTTTTTATAAAAGATCAAAAATAAAGCAATTTGGATGATTAAAGTGATTTGATTTTGTCTATGTTCTTTTGATATAAAATAAAACCAATTTGATGTTCAAACAATCATTTGAAAAAATAATTGTTTTTCAACTATTTTGATAATGTTAATCTTCTTTTGTTGAGATTATAAAAGAGATAAAATGAAACAAAGTTGATGTTTTAAGAGCTGTGATGTTGTTAAGCTTATCTTGATGATTATATAAAAGATATAAAATGAAACCAATTTGATAATTGAAATAATTTGATTTGATTGTTTTTATTTTGATGAGATTATAAAAGATAAATGATGATTTGACTGATTTGATTTTGTTTGATGATGATGAAGATGATGATGATCTCTTTTTGTTTGCAACCTAAAAAGAAAGAAAAGATGATTGAAAAGGACAGAGAAAAGAATCAAAAAGTTAGTCAAAGTCAAGTTCCATTTAGATGAAACCACATGCCTGCGAAGTCGATTTCCAATGGCGTGATTTCAATCGTTGGGTTTCGATGGTCCAGAAATAGCAGGTGGTTCATGTTATTTGAGGGTGGGTGAAGTGGTGGATGGAGTTGGGGGTAGGAGGGTTGATCGAATCGATTGATCGATTCGGTCAACCCCTTAACCGCTAGGTGGCTAGGTCACCTAGCGGTTAAGTGACCTAGCCATCGCACGATCACTCGGTGATCGTGCGATGGACCAGGTCCAGCTAAGCGCTAGGTCACCTAGCGCCGGACCGATATGCAGCGCCATCGCACGATCACTCAGTGATCGTGCGATGGACTAGTGACCGGGGCCCAGGGTGTGCTCGGCCCCGGACCGATATGCAGCGCCATCGCACGATCACCCAGTGATCGTGCGATGGCTTGGCCACCTAATTGCTAGGTGGCCTTACTTTTAAGGTGAGGCCACCTAGCAGCTAGGTGGCCCTCCTTTCAAGGGCAGGCCACCTATTGCTTAAGAGGCCTGGCTGGGTTTTTTTGGGGGTTAAAACAATCCAAAATATATATTTTTTAAAAAAAAAACAATATATAAGTTCGGGGGTTTATTTTCGTAAATAAATAAAATTAACCTTATAGTTTCATAGCAACCCGAAACTTTTCAGTCTCTGTTGAATTCAAATAATTATACACATGTACATACAATCAGTATTGGTACAATTGGGTCTTATTAATTACTCATTTGATTTTGGTTCAATCTCCACATGTTTGAAAGCACGTCTCAAAACATTTGGCTTTTGTTGATGAAAATAAAAATAAAAATACATAATGAAACAATTCTTTGTCTATTGATAAAGAAATACAATTCCACCAAAACAGTTCCTCAAAATATGTTTGATAGCAATGTTTGGTTGGATCTTTTGGCAATATACTCAATTTTTGTATTATTTTGTTAATTGAATAAATATGTAAATGAATCTTGGAACCTTTTGAGTACAAGGTGTTTAGAAGTTTTGTTTGATGTTTTCTTTTCTTTTGTTTATGAATAATAAAATGACTCAGTATAATCAAAGAAATGTGCTGAAGCTCCATAGGGGGAGAAGCAGTGGCCATATGACCCTAACCGGTGATGGAACATGTTACCAGGGATTTGCATCAATCTCAGGAGCGCGAGATCCAAGAATGTTTTGTAAATTGTGTAAAGCTTGTGCGTGGATCTGCGAGATCCAAGAATTGTGTAAATCCGCACAGCAAAGTTGAGCTCATATAAAGTGTGCTCCATGCACCCAAAGTATATTGTTCCTCATTTCATTCATCCATTTTTCATCCACTTCATATCATTATTCTAATCATGTTTGTCACACCTCAACAAAATCTAAGCCAACCAGTATGTGCTGGGATGATATCTTTCAACGTGGCATCACCCACTTCCACTGCGGCAAAACTGAAACATCCCCATCAGTCACCTGTGTTCTTGAAAGTTTCTGCGGATACCCACAGCACACCAGAGATCAGTTTATATCTTCCAACTGGTCATTCTCTGGGGTATGTCCCTCCAGGTGTTGATAGTTGTTTCTTGAAGCTGCTTGGAAGCACACCTCGGATATATAAAGCTCTACCTGCAGGCGGATGGAAACCTAGTTCATCTTTCGACCCCAGTCACCCGGTTCTCATCAGCTCTACTGTCAACACCACTATTGTCAAATTTGATGGGCATGATGCGTCACAATTGCAAGTCCATGCACTTTTATTTATCCCAAGTTGGTACCAAGGCAGCCTTGTCAAGACAGTCAAGAACTTCAAGATCGAACTCCAGCGTCCTACTCATTACAATCCTCAGCAACACCAACTTGTTCCTCTGGTGGATCTAGAAGCACAGACAACTCCCAACTGGAGCTCAGCATTTCCCGATCACATGTTTACCAGAGACGAGGTCTCCAGACTTGCGTCCATTTCTTGCGGCTCAGATCTTCAGCCTGTCAATCCATCAGAGATAGTGACATCTCAGCTCCACCCCCATCAAAAGCAGGGCCTGGCATTTTTGTTGGACAGAGAAAATCCGGAATCAAAAACTTATCACTCCCTTTGGTTTTATAAATCCATGCCACCCTTCAACCGGTGGAGTCACCGTCTCTGTGGTGAAGAATTTATTGTCACTGAGGGACAAACCGGACCAGTCAGCCCTAGGGCTTCAATTCTAGCAGATGACATGGGGCTTGGAAAAACAATTCAAACCATTTCTTTAATTGCTACTACACTGGAAGCATCAAGACAATTCGAACATCAGGAATCTGCAACAGCTGTCAACCATCCAAACCACCACCTCTGGGCATCTCACACGACACTTTTGATATGTCCCACCAGCCTCATGGACAACTGGGAAGAAGAGGTTCAAAAACACACCAGAAAACACAGCTTGAAAGTCTTGCGCTGGCATGGCACAGACAGAGTTAAAATTCCTCTACGTGATATGCACTCAGCCGACATCATCATTACAACCCCCAAAACCCTTGTATGGGACCAGCGGCAAGATGGGTCAACACGGCTCCCTTTTACAACCAGGTGGTACAGAGTGGTCATTGATGAAGCTCAGTGAGTGATCTCTCTTTGTGCCAAGTTCACATTTATCAAGCTGACCCTCTACTGGTACCAGTGTAATCCGTAATGAAACCAGCTCCCATGCAGTACTCACCTCTTTGGAATCAGTCAACCGGCTTTGTCTCACTGGAACTCCACTCCATAACCGAATTGGAGACTTGCACATGCTTTTCAAATTTCTACACATCAAGCCATTTCACCAAGACTCTGTGTGGTACCGTCAAATCACTCTGCCTGTCCATCAAGGAAAGCTGGAAACACTTGGACACCTACTAAGATACTTTATGCTGAGGCGGACCAAAGCTAGCCACCTACGTGATTTACCCCCAATCTACCATGTGACCATTTTATTGGACATGCATCCAAAAGTGAAAGCAGTATATCAACAACATTACGAAAGATTTATTCAGGACTTTGGTGTGGACTCTCAAATCCAACATAAACAGGGTGAAAATTTTAGACAATTGAGCAATCTCAGGATGACATGCAATCACCCTCTTTTATTCAAACAAGAACAAGAGCTCAATTCGGTCAAGATTACAGAGATGGAGGAGGAGCTTGGAATCATGGTGCCGGATGGGAGGGAACTAACTGCTGCTGCCAGGCCAGCCTACCGGGAAGACTGGTCACTGAGTAGCAAGCTTGCATACTTGGTTTCCCAGCTCAAAAATAAGCAGGTTCCTTTGCATAAAGGTCTATGCAAGAAGACTGTCATCTATACCCAATGGAGGTGTTTCATGGAGTGGTAAATATATTTTCTGTCTCTTTTATATCACTTGTCCTGTATGCTAACCTGCACACCCCACAGGATCAAGATTGGTTTGGATTGTCACGGCATCGAAAGCGGCTCCTTGCACGGTGAGATGACTCCTCAGGAGAGGACATTGCAACTCAACAGATTCCAGAACAATAACAACATTGAGGCCTTCATAGTATCTATCGAAGCTGGAGGTGTGGGCTTGAATATGACATGCGCTGACGAGGTGTACCTGATGGTGTGTTTGTTATCATTTATTCATATACTATCATAAACATTAGCTAAACAGAAGATCATTAGGATGCCCATTGGAATCCACAGATTGTGCAACAGGCAATTGACCGTTTACATCGAATTGGCCAGACCCACCCTGTGAAGGTGTATCATGTGGTTGCAGGGGGATCTGTTGAACAGCACCTATTCAATGTGAGTCAAGTAATCAGCTTCCAGAAAGGGTTACACTCACCATCATCTGCAAACCCTTTTTTTCCTCTCAGGTACAGAAGAAAAAAGCATCTCTGGCTAGAAAAGTAATAACATTGTCAGTTCCAAAGGATCAACTTAAAGATTACCTCAAGCCTGGGGACACAATGGATGTCTTGCATGATATAGGAAATGTGAATGCATGCTATGCAGAATATGTCTAGATGCTCGAGGGTTCCAACCAAACATATATGTAGAATTTGTAGTTCAAACCAACCACAAGTCCCTTTTATCTTTGAAAAGGTCTTTTCTGTCTTGTATGATGTTCTTTTTCAGAATACATGAAATTCAGAGTGTTTTTACTTTCCTCACAGCAATCCGTACTATTGACCATTACAAAGTTTACAACACACAGAGATGCAGGTAATAGTGAGATAAAATACTCAGTTTTCCAAAACCATAGAATCATCACCTTCAACACGGGCAAAGGGAGTGTTACTCCAAGACAAATCTTTCAATCTTGCTAATACAACATCAAAAGAACCCCAAAAATTTCCAATGTCCAAATCACCGCTCACAATTCCAACTTCTTCCATGACTTGATCAACCACCGGGGAAAACCACTCAGGGGTTGTGCTCCACAAATGTTCTTACTCTGGGTATTCATCAGCAAGGATAGCATCCACCGCTTCACCTGGGACAGGTATGAGGTATTCAATCCCACCAAATTCGTCAACGGGGTTTTTGTAGCAGTAGTCTGCAGAACATCCAGTAGGTAATTTCGACCGCTTGTCGTGTCGTCTGCAGAAACCATTGTAAAACTTGACCCATTTGTCCAGAGCTCGTTGAAAGACGGGGATAAATAGGTGGAGAAACAAGGTCCTGAAAAGCAATAACAAAGATTTCAGCATGGAATCACCAATTAAAAGTCGCGCACGCCACCGGATTCATTGGATCATTGTCATTATATAAATCTTGATCAATGCGCTCTTGAATTTTAGCTTTGATATTTCCAGTCAGTCCACAAGTCATTTTGTCCCAGAAGCACTCAATCTTTTGGTTACGAGGGGACGGGACATATTGATGATAAGGCCAGTCTGGAAGCTCTGGAACCGTAAGTTTCTCCAAAATAACGTTGATGTCCAGCAAGAGGAACAGTCTCAGTTCTCGATCGTGGTGAGCTTTTTGGGAATGCCACCTTGTTTCTTGACAAGGCCAAGATACCACAAGTCAACATGGCGGGGGTCGCTGTTGGTGACATGAGCATGAAGTCCCAAAATCTTTCGAGACCAGCAATCAATGAATCCATATATACCGATTCCAAAGTTGATCAACTTGTCGTGTCCATCGGCAGCCCAAACCTCATTGGGACCTCCCGCATAGTATTCCCGTCGCTTGAGTTTATGAGCAGCTCGCATTCTGACAGCATCTGGGTCCATTGCCTTCATCATAGCTGCAATAACATCACTATATCAAAGAGGATTTCCAATGTAATTAGCATCAGAGCAAATGGAATCAAGAAGGCCCAAAGACTTGCCGGTGGATGTGAACCTTGTGTTCCTGAGCTAGCATCTTCTTGACACTCTTGATTCCAAGTACATTTCCATACTCAATCTGAAGTTCTTCAATCTTGTTACATACGGTGGCATAAGTTACTACACCCATGTCAAGATCATCCTTTTGGCGGTGAAGATTGAGTTGCTTCTCAAGTCGAGCTAAAGTTGACCGGCTGATGATGATGTTGTGTTCGTTTTTAAGGGAAATGAGAGCTCGCTTTTGGTTCAGAGATTGTTTGTAATTATCTAATACTGCATCCTTTACAACCTCCACATCATAATTTCCTTGTTGTTTCAAGTCCCATTCTTTGATTCGTCTTCTAACAGTTCTTACACAGACTCGGATGTTGTGCCGTCGCCAAACAGTGTCGCATACTGTTTGTGCTGGCCAGTTGTTAGCCACAGCTTCTTCAACGAGGGGTCGCAAGATTTCATCAGATATTTTTGCTGGCATGTTGGTGTGTAGTTGGTGATGGAGACTGAGGGTGATTTGATGAGGACGGTCGAAGAAGAGAAGATCGAGGACAGTTGACGAAGAAATAAGAAGATCGAGGACAGTTGACGAAGAAATAAGAAGCTCGAGGACGGATGACGAAGAAATAAGAAGATCGAGGACGGTTGACGAAGAAAGGAGATGATCGAGGAAGATTGAGGACAGTTGACGAAGAAAGATGAAGATTGAGGACGGATAATGAAGATTGAGGAAGATCAAGGACGGTTGACAAAGATTGGAGAAGATCAAGGGCAATCAAAGAGGATTGATGATGGTGGAAGAGGGTTTTGGAGGAGAGCGAGACAGGAAGCAGGTCTTTGAAGCTCTTGAGACAGATGGTAGAATGTCTCCGGTCGGAGGTGTTGATACCTGTGAGACTGAGCTTGTAGCTACTTGGCCAACATGTGGTTTTTGGCTGCGGTAGAATCTAACATTGGTGTTTGAGTTGTACAGTTTGAGAACTGTATTTTATGTTTTTTGATTTTATGTTTTTGATTTTTTGATTTTTGGTGTTGCTGGTACTTTTTGCCGAAAGGTGACAATGCAATGAAAATGGTGTCGACCACTGGAAATTTGGGCAAAAATGTGTTTCTGCCATGATTTTTACTCCGGTACAGGGGTTTTATCCCTGTATTTGAGTATTTTCTGTAGTTTTGTCTTTGATTTTTGAATTTCGCACCCGGGGATTGTGATTTTTGATTTTTGAAATATCGCATTGTCACTTTGGAACGTCTCGCATTCCGTAGAAGGCTACCAAAACTGACTTGTCGCTAACCGAGTCATCCTCGTCCATGACATACTGATTCCTCGTAGCATGGCCGCGGTCATCTTTGTTTAAAATCTTCAACAAGGACGTTGCCTCTGCATCGTCTCCTCGATCATAGGCTTCTTGGATTAAGTTCCCCAAGATTTGGCGCCGTGAGTCTGTTTATTTCCAACCGAATGGATAAGATTTCATCCGCTCGTCAGTCTTATTCCGAAGTTTTGTTTCATCTCCTTGTCTCTTATATTGGATCGCGACCGCCACCATAGACTCTCGGGGCTCTGTATAGTCGAACAATCTAGTGACTCGACCAATTGTCTGTTCGAGACTTTATCACCTGAGGTAATAATATATCCTCTTCTAGGTACGGCACCTATTGTAAGCTGGGCTAGCTGGGTTCTTATTATAAGCCAGACCAGGCTGGGGACCTATTTTAAGCCGGACCCTTGCTGGGACACCTACTGTTAGCTGGGCCAGGCTGGGCTCCTATTCTTAGCCGGGCCAGGCTTTCTTGATCTTAAACGTCCTTTCGTTTTATTCTATTATCAGAAGAAAGCAATTCAAGGGTAATTTTCCTGTTTATTATAAGCATTTGTTCCGATATCTGCGGTATGCGTTATAATTTCATCTATAATTTCTCTTTACCTATGATCAGGTCTTTCTACTAACATCCTGCCTTTCCTCTGCAAGGATTCATCTTAGACGACCTCAGTTGAACTAGAGGGTTTTGGATCTAAGACTTCATAAAGGAAATAGCTTCGAAGAAGAAATAGATGGTGGATGTTTCGTAAAGGAAATAGATTCACAGAGGAAATTGACGGTGGACAAATCGATAAAGAGATTGTATTTGACTGAATGTTGGTGGATTTGAGAGTGAAAATAGCAAAGGTCTTCTTACCGGGAAGAAGAGGAATTGACATTGGAGAATTGAAATGTAACGCTCACCTTGTTGAGTCACTTCCTTACCCCCTATTTCCTCTCCCTCCACGCCCATCAAACCTTCTTCTATACCTCCCAACTCTTCTGTCTCCTGTTGTTCTGAATGAATCTCTTCTAATGGACCTAATTCCTTTCCACCTTTTCTGACGTCGTTCTTCTTCTTCTTTTGTTGCTGTCTGATTCCTTTTGTTTTCTTAATTCCAGCCGGCCTTCGACTTTTCTTCTGAATACCACTTCCTCGAAGGCTCCTCGGGGTATGGTTAGATCCGGTGCTAATCCTGTCGGTGTTCCTCCCGTTTGCGCCTTGTTTAGGAGTTATGAGTCTAGAGCTCGGTCTACCTCCTTTCGCCGCTGCCTCAGCTCTCGTTAATACTCGATCTTCTATTTGATTCATTGTATCTTGATTTCGTTGATTAGCATTTTCTACCGTTGGATTTTGGCCTTCTTGGCCAGGATTTGGTTGATTTTGATCTTGATTTAATTGATCGTTTGTCTGATCTAATTGAGCTTGGAAGGACATCTTTCTTTTTGATTTCGCGAATGATCTGTTCTTCAAACTTTCTTTAATTTCTGGTTTTGTTTTGTAATCAAAAAATTAATTCTAATCTAGAATTCTAAAAGATCTAAATCAAGTCTTAAAGAGCTTGAATCGAGAGCTTTGAGGAATAACTACAGAAGAGTATCTTACAAAGGTGGGAAATTTTCTATAAATTTCCAACCGTTGAACTCGTACTGATACTCGTGACATGTGTAACACATGTCACCTAGTGATATGCCGCTAGTGGACCCTGCACCAATACGTGCCTTGATTGGTTCTCTACAACCATTCGAGAGCACATAAGTGTTGTTATGCTCCGTGACATAACCATCATTTATGTCCCGCTGCTTATCAGGACACCTATTATGCCCGTGTCCTTCCCGAGCACAATAGTAACACATCAACGGCCCATCTCTAAAAGGCTTCTGTTGATACTCCCCCCTTGCCGGTCCATAATTCTCCGGTCCGTAAGGTCCTCCTCCATTAGCTTGAGAAGCCTGGTTCCCCTGGAACTGTCCTCCTTGACCATTCCACTGAGGCCGGTTCCCCGCATAACCTCCTCTTCCAAAATGATTACCCCCAAATCCTCCTCTTCCTCTAGCTCCTCCATACCCTCCAGGACCAGCATTATTGCCTTGCTGCCCGGCACCAAAATAAGTGTTGGGATTTATCCCTCCCTGTGGGGGCCCCCTGTTCTGAAACGCAGGAGCAGGATTGTTGGAAGGGTTAAATTGATTAACCCTTCCCCCCACTGGGTTGCCAGGATTAGGCTTGCCTGCACCCCAACCACTCCATGCAGCAAACTGCTTCACTAACTCCGCCACCGCCGGATCCTCGGTCTTATGTCCGTCCGCCTTCTTACTCAACCCCTCCATCTTCATTCCCCTTCTTTCCATATCCTTCTGCACCACTTTGTCCTTCAATTCTTCATCCTT